GGGGGCGGTCCAGAGGGGGCTGCCAGCTCTCTCAGCCATCCCTCAGTCCTGGCCAGTTTATGTTATGGATCTTAGAGACTGTTTCTTCTCAATCCCCCTGCATCCAGAGGACACTCATAGGTTCGCCTTTACTTTACCCACCATTAACCAAGAAAGCCCTGATCTCAGATACGAGTGGATAACACTGCCCCAAGGTATGGCCAACAGTCCCACTATGTGTCAGATTTACCTTGATTCCCTACTGGCCCCCCTACGGAAATCCTTTCCCAAGATAAGATGTGTACATTACATGGACGACCTTTTGCTCAGCGGCAGGGACCCAGACATGCTAAATAATATGCTCGGCCAGTTGGTCGAGGCCCTGAGACAAGCTAATCTGCATGTTGCCCCCGACAAGATTCAGGGAGGAGAAATGGTGACCTACTTAGGCACGAAAATCTCCCCTATGCTAGTCTCTCCACAGAAGGTCACCATTAGGACGGATGGCGTTAGGACCCTAAATGACATGCAAAAGCTATTGGGAGACATTAATTGGATTAGGCCATATTTACATATACCAAATTCAGATCTCAAACCCCTGTTCGACCTTCTGAAGGGAGACCCAGATATAGCCTCCCACAGGAGGCTCACTCCTGAGGCAAGAGCTGCCTTACAGAGAGTAGAAAAAGCCTTAGGTGGGGCTACCTTACACAGAATTAAACCAGGGCGACCCTTTGATGTCTGTTTGCTACAGACTAGTCTACAGCCCACAGCGGTGATTTGGCAGAAAGGACCATTACTGTGGATACACCCTAAGGTCTCACCTGCAAAAGTCATAGAGCATTACCCGGAGGCAGTCGCTTCATTGGCCCTTGAAGCGCATGATAGAGCTGTCCAACATTTTGGCTCAGGACCACAAGCCATCAGAGTACCCTATACCGCCAGCCAGATCAAGACCCTGGCTGCCTGCATAGATACATGGGCCATTCTGAGATGTGTTTTCCATGGGGATATAAACAATCAATACCCTAAAGACCCTATCTTGTCATTTGTCACTCAGCACCCTGTAATTTTTCCAAAGGTTACTGCCTCTGAGCCATTAGTCCCAGCAACTACAATATACACAGATGGTTCCAAGACGGGGATAGGCGCCTATGTGATCCTAGGCAAGCCCCCGGTTACCATACAATTTAAACCTGATCAGCCTCAGGTGGTGGAACTGCAGATCGTTAAAATGATTCTTAAACGGTTCTCAGAAGCCATTAATATTGTCTCCGATTCTAGCTATGTGGTCAATGCTATGCAAGTGCTTGAGACTGCCGGTTTAATTAGATCCACTTCCACAGTGGCTGGGCTGTTCCTGTCTATCCAGACATTGCTTCAGAACAGACACCATAAGGTCTTCACCACCCACATAAGAGCACATACATCCCTGCCAGGGCCTATGGCACAGGGGAATGCGGCTGCTGATACTGCCACTCGCCCGTTATGGATTTTTACCTTACTAACACCAATCGAGCGAGCCCGTGCCTTCCATGATAAGTTTCATGTCAATGCCAGGACACTAGCAAACCATTTCCATGTTTCCAGAGCAGATGCACGAGATATCGTGCGACTATGTGACTCCTGTGCCACATACAAACCTGCCATACCGATGGGAGTAAACCCTCGAGGTTTGATCCCTGGTGATGTTTGGCAGATGGACATCACACATATACAGGAGTTTGGGACTCTTAAATATGTTCATGTTTCCACAGACACCTGTTCTCACGTCATATTCACAACAGCAGAAACAGGTAAAAAAGTGTCTAATGTGATCAATCATTGCCTGGCGGCTTGGGCCGCATGGGGCAAACCAAAAATATTAAAAACTGATAATGGACCAGCCTATATAGGCAAAGCCTTCAATGAGTTCTGCAAAATGATAGAGGTTCAATTAAAACATGGTATCCCATACAATCCCCAAGGTCAAGAAATCATTGAGAGGGCTCATAAAAGCCTCAAAAAAATTTTACAAAAACAAAAAGGGGGAGTAGGCCAAGGCCTGGCCCCAAAGGCACGATTATCCATGGCACTATTCACACACAATTTTTTAAATTTAAATAATGATAATTGCTCCCCAGCCGTGGAGCACTGCAACCCTTCCCCCAACCATAAAGGGTGGGTGAAGTGGAAAGATGTCCTGACAGGACAATGGATGGGCCCGGATCCAGTGGTCAGCTGGAACCGAGGCGCGGTTTGTGTTTTCCCACAGGAATCGGGACGAGAACCACTGTGGGTACTGGAGAGACTGACATGGGCGACAAAGCCCTCGACTGAAGATCAGACCTGCCCTACCGGAGATCCATCACAGACCAACCAACAAGATGAATAAAAATAGCGGTAGCCCGAAATGGACAAGAAGATCCTCAGGCATATGCATGGCTCGCTCGCCTAGCCTACGACCGAGTCTAGGGACGGTGAGCTTCCCACACTCCTCCTCTAAAAAATTATGACATAGCTGGGTAGGAGAGTCAATGACGGGTAAGAGCGTACTCCCCCGGTGCGACTCAACCTAAGCCAGGCCCTACCCCATTCTGCACGTAAGCCGCTGGACTGTTAGATGCTGCCCAGGTCTAAATTTCTCTCCGAGGGGATTTCTTTACGGAGAGGAAATGAGTGCAAGCTTGTGTGCATCCAGGTTCCGTCCAGTTTGTGCCTGGCCCTAGAAAAAAGACGAGGGCCTCAGGGCCTTGGCAGACCATGGGACGGCCGACCAGGGTCTAAGCCAAGGACCTACGGTGGGCCTACGCATAGGGCATAAGCCTCTGCACCCAGTCCAGAAAGGGCTACGATGCGCACATTCATAAAAAATAAAAAAGGGGGAGATGTTGGGAGCCGCAGCCCCGAGCCCGGTCGCCTCACTTGGCGGACGTGAGGCCTGTAGTAAAGAGTAAAGCCTGAGGTAGATTACCCCTCCCATCGAGCACGTTAGTTTCCTGCTTACCGCGTAAACAACCCGCTCAACAATATAGTCTGCCTGGCAACTGATGATGTTAGCCAATCAGCTTGCCTTGCTCACTTTAACATGATTGGACACTGTATCCGTATATATACTGGTGCCACCCCTGGGGGGGAAGAAGAAGCCCAAAAGTAGAAGCCCAAAAGGAGCCGCGGGGAGCGGACCAAAGGAGGCTTCGGCTGGGAGCGATCCCAGGGCAGGCTGTACGGAGAAGAAAAATAAAAGAAAAGGTTGTCCACTGCCAGACTTTGTCGTGTGTCCTTCCTGCCGGCCGGGAGCGGACATCGACAGCAAATGATGCTCTTTGGAATCTGAATGCACTGGAGAGGCAATGCCTTATAGTCTGTGAAGGTTCAGTTTCCTTCCTGTCCCCTTTCCTGCAGGAGGCAATAGAAGGCAAAGGTGATCTCTTTGATAGGTATAGTGTTCAGGCAGATCGACTTCCAGCATCTCTGCTGATATGCAAGGCCCTCAATCTAAGATAATCATCATATTGGGGGGTGACAGTACCTGAACTCCTTGTCTAGTCCAACTGCAAATGATGAATTTTAGACTTGTCTTTGCAAGTACTTGTCTTTGAAGCTGTGGGGGGAGATCTGAGCCAAAATGTCCAGCTCTGATGAGCATTACACCTTAGTGAACAGGTGGGTATCACGTGGATTGTTACAAGTTTAATACAATGTTCCTGGTGATGTCAAGCACCTGAACCTACTAACTGTAGCCATTGGTCCCATGTAACTACTGAACTTTTAAAAGTGCTAATGGTTTTCTTTTCTGTTGTCTTCCATTCTCCTTGCCTGCTGTACCAGTCAGCACCCTGTGCATGTCTCTTTACCGTGCCTCAAAAAATTGAGGAAATCAAGAATCTTCAGTGCTGTCTTTTTTTTTTTTTTTTTTTTTTTTTTTTTTTGTCTTTTTCATTTTTATCGGTACCGGGGATCGAACTCACGACTGCCTGCTTGCAAGGCAGGTGCTTATGCCGCTGAGCTAAACCCCCAGCCCCTTCAGTGCTGTCTTGATGTAGTACTGTGGTCCCAACAGTCAGGAGGTTGAGGTAGGAGGATACTATGAATTCGAGACCAGTCTGGGCTACACAGTGAGACCCTGTGTCAGACAACAACTCACTGCTTAAATATTTTTAAGCTTCTGTAATAAAGTGTTAAAATAAATGTCATCACTTTCTCTGTATTGTTTTTGTCTTTTTGGGATAGGGTCTTGCTATGCAGTTCAGGCTGGCCTCAAACTTGTGATCTTGCCTCGACCTCCCAAGTGCTGAGATTACAGGCAGTTTTTCTGTATTTTAAAGAGACTACTATAAAATTTAAACTTACATGTATAACTAGGTGCATTTCTAATGGACAAGAGCAGCCTAGTCAGGTTAGCAAATAGTAAAAGCCCCTTTGACGATGGCTACTGTTTCCCTGAAAGTGCCAATCTTCTTCGGGAAGTTTAGTGTTTAGAGTAAGTGTTCAAAAACAGCAAACTAAAAAACGGTATTATGTAATGTATTATGTAAACGTATTATGAATTACTCTTGAACCTACAGTATCATCTTTTTTTTTTTTTTCTAACAAGGAGGGCTACAAAATTCTAGTTCTAACAACGGATAGTGGAATGAAGGCAGCAGCGGCCTTGCAAGGTGAAGTTTTAGAATTGTCACTTGGGGTTCCGTTCCAGGAAACGGGGACGGAGCCGCGTTTCCGGATTCGTCCGCCAGCGCGAGCCCTGTGGTACCTACAAGCCCCACTCGCTCTGCTGCCAGAACCCACGGCCCTCCCGGCAGCTTCTCACTTCCAGCCCAAAAAGGCCTCCGGGGAGTCGCGACAGGCGACCCACCCCCAAGCGGCGGGGAAGAGACACTCTCGGTGCGCGCACGGCGCGAAGCCCGCGGTGGCGAGCGGCCCGCAGGGCAAACGCCAGCGACGCGCCCGGGCGGACGGCGAGCCCTCCCCCCCCCGCCCCCCCCCCCCCGGAGCGGGGCTGATGACGAACACAGAGCGCGACGGACGCACACACCAACCCGCGCTCGCACGACGTTGCGTGCAGGGAAGCGCGAGGGAGTCCCGGGCCGTCACCGGCGCGACTGCCGTCCCGCCTCCTCCGCTATCGGCGCTCCCGCCACCTCGGCAGCTCCGTGCCCGCCTCCGACCGAAGCGTCCGCCGCAGCGAGGCCGCGGGCCTCGCTCCTGTCTCTTTAAATGGTGGGGCCGATAGGCTGCCCCTGCAACTACTGCCTGGGTGGCCCCGCGCACCGCTTTTGAGGGGTGAGCCAAGATGGCGGCCGCTTTAGCTCAGTGAGGAAGACGGAAGAGGCGGCGGCTGCTGTGGTTAAGCGAAAGCGACTTCCAGCAACCTAGGGCCCTTCGGGGGCCGAGGGCGTTCGGACTATCCCAGGCAGTTGGTACAGTTGTAGCAAAAGCAGGCCCCCGCTGGCACTGGACGCTTGAAGCGGAGGGAGCGGAGCAAAGCCACTGGCCGCGGTGGCAGGGCCAGGTATAAGGAAGGAAAACATGGCGGCGGCGATCTGAAGAAGCTGCGGCGGCGCGGGAAGCTGCTCGGTGGGGATCATGGCGGAGGCGGGAGCAAGACAGTGACCCGAGTCTCGCGTTCCGACTGCGGCGGGGCAGGAGGCTGCGCGGCGCTGCACGCCCCCCTCGGGGCTGCTGGGCGGCGGGGCCCGGACAATAGCGCGGAGGAGCCGGAGGCGAGCGAAGGCGGCAGCCCGGAGCGCGGGCCCGGGAGCGAGCCATGCGGGCGGCGGCACGGCCCCGCGGCGGCCAGCGGCGGCAGTGAGGTCCCTGGGCCCTCCGCTTACCGGCGCCCGCCTCTCTCGGACCCGGTTCCTGGGCGACTCCGGCGGGGCCTGTGCCCCGGCCCCCGGGCGGCACCATGACCGACACCCGGCGGCGGGTGAAGGTTTACACGCTCAACGAGGACCGGCAGTGGGACGATCGGGGCACCGGGCATGTGTCGTCCGGCTACGTGGAGCGCCTGAAGGGCATGTCCCTGCTTGTCAGGGCCGAGAGCGACGGTAAGTGCAGCGCCGCCCTGGGCCACCTCCCGGCTTCCGGCGGGGCAGAGGCGCCTCGAGGACGGCGGGCCACAGGTAGCCCGGGCCCGCGGGAGTCCCACCGGGAGCGCGCGCGGTGTTTGCTTTCCCCGGTGCCCGGTGGCATTTAGGGTTAGAGAGGAGCCAAGCACGTTTGAGCAGTGCGGCCCAGGCGTGCGCGGAGGTCAGGAGCCTGGGATCGGGAGCCCCGTGTGCTGCTCTCGCACTGGAGTGACCTTGAGAAAGGCAAGCTTGAATCCGACCTTCAGCCTTAGTTCACCCATCTGTAAAGCAGGCACGCAACTTTGGTCCAAACTAAGAAAGTTCTAAGCTGTTGCACACTTGAAAAACATTTTGGTGTGCTCCCCTCCCCCTTTAAAGTAATTTGGTTTTTAACTTTACAATCCTGTTGTGGGTTGGCAGGACTGGTTCTTGGGTGTAGCAGCTCCACACTGGGTAGAGAAAGGGTTGCTCTTTTGAGGATAGAATTGCTTTCATGAGCGTTGGTTGTCTTTTCAGCGGGAATGCAGGATTTGGTGATCCGTTCCCTGTGAACATCTTGCAAATTTGGAATCCTTTGGTTTTGAGCTTTATGCTTGCTTAAAATGCTTCACAGTTGGATTTGGCCAAATGGAGAGAAGTTAATAGCAATCTTTAAAACTTTTCAGTCTGCTCTAGTGTCTTCATGAATTTTGGTTTTTTTTTTGTTTTGTTTTGTTTTGTTTTGTTTTAGCACTGGGGTTGAACACAGGAAGCGCTGAGTTTCGCAGGCCTCTCCTTTCCCCTCTCTGAGACAGAACTTTACAAACTTGCCCCAGTTTGCCTCGAGCCTCTCCCTTCTGAGTGGCTGGGGTTTATAGGCCTGAGCCACTGTGGCAGTCTCCCCAAGTCATGTTTACAGGTCCAAAGACCAAGCTGTTTGAAAATAATGGGATTTCCCTTTCTCTTTTTTTTTGGCTGGGGTGGGATGGAGTGGAGGTCTTCGTATGTAGCCGTAGGTGGCTTTAAACTGATGATCCCCCTGCTTCAGCCTCCCCAGTGTGTTTACAAGAGTGCCTTTTTTACCTGGCAGGGTTTCATATTTTAAAAGACTTACTATCTATGGAGTTTGCAAGTTTTTGAATTTCACTTGAAACTTTCAAGCTGGGTAAAACTTCTTTTTTTTGTCTTTTTGAGAGGATTCAGCCTGGCCTTGAGCTCAGGCTAGCCTCGAACTTGCAGTGACTCTTGCCTCAGCCTCCAAAGTGCACCATTATGCCCAGCTAAAACTTTTCAAATTGTTCCTTCTGAATATAAGAATAGTTATCTCCACCTATCTTGTTAACGTTAGCCTGTGATTTTACAATAGGCAACTGTGCCTATTTACTATGATTGTGGTTCTGTATCTGAATTACAAACTTATTTTAAGGTATTTTTTTTCCTGTTGGACTTTACCCAGAACTCTAGTTTCATGAAAAACAAGACTCTCCCCTTTGTAATTATAGATTCTAGGTGCACTGGTGTTTGATTTGAGTTAAAGCAATGGTAATATGGAGTGTACTATTACCTACCGTTTTTTTTTTTTTCTGGGTTTGAGTTGCGTTGGGTTGGGTTATTGCATGGTACTGGGCATGGAAACCAGGAGCATTGTACTGTTCTGTTAAATACCCACCTTTATAGGTTTTGGGGTGTTTTGTTTTGTTTTAGGTACCAGGGATAGAACTCATGACCTTACCCTTGTCAGGCAGACGCCAATGCCTCTGAGCTAAATCCCTGGCCCTTTTTGTTTTGTTTTTTAAACAGTCTCACTGAATTGTTCAGGGAGGGCTTAAATGTGGATGTCACACATACATACACTCCTGAGTAGCCGGGATTACAGGCGTATGCCACACTATGTTCAGCGTCTACAGGTTATATTTACAAGGCTACCCAAAATAATTCAAAATTAGAACCAGTTGTAAGGCACGCCTGTTGTAATCCCAGCATTTCAGGAGGCTGAGGCAAGAGGGTCACTACAAATTCAAGGGCAGCGTGGGCTACATAGTCTAACCTACATAGAGAGGATCTGTCTCAAAAAAAAAATTTTTTTTTTGTTTTTCCTGAAACCAAGTTAATATTTATGTCTCTTAGTTAAAATACAAGCAGAATGTGAGATACCGTGCTGATAAACTTACATGGTGCACTGGGGAGGATGGGCTTTAGGTTCAGTTAACCTCTTTAAAGAGTGCTGGACTAAATCATTAAGCGATGCTGTGGATCAAACCCAGGGCTTTGGGATGCTAGGCAAGTCCCACTACTGAGCTGTGTTCCCAGTCTGCTGTTAGCTTGTTTTGAGGTGTAAGTATGTGTACATTTTTCTATTTGAAATCTCATTACAAATAATATAGCCTTATTTTTAGTGCGTGTGCTGCCAAAGCAAGCACATATAACCTTGACATTGTGTATTTAATTTTTATTTTGGTTTGGTTTATTTATTTTTAAGTATAGAGCTGCCATATAGCCCAAGGGTGTCTTTTAAACTCATGCTTCCGTGTTGCCACCACCTCTAGCTTCTTTGTTTTTAAGCATTAATGTCATACTATCTTGAGGAATCATGTTCTTCTAACATGGTGTTATAAGGATCTGGTGTGTCTTTTTCACATTTATATTTTTGTCACTTGGGAAATAGCCTTTGTTCTTCCTTTTGAAAGTTTGGGGAGGGCTATGCAACAGAACAGATTGAATGGCTAAAAAACAAAGTAGATTTAAGGTATGTTTGTTTGTTTGTTTGTTTGTTTGTTGTCTTTTTGAGACAGGGTCTCACTATGCAGTTCAGGTTGGCCTTGAGCTCACTTTGTAGCCCAGGCTGGTCCTGAACTTGCACGATCCTCCTGCCTCAGCCTCCCAAGTGCTGAGATTATAGGCGTGAGCCACCACGCCCGGCTTGGATTTAAGTTTTTTATCTAAGTGGAAAAGAGTGCTGGACTAAATCATGATCTGTCTTTGTAACTAAGTTTAAGGGAACCTAATTCCAAAAAAATGGTCTTAGAAAAATTTCAGGATACTTGTGAAGTAATCTTCAGTTTGGCATTGAACATTTTTCCGGGAAAGGAAAATTCCAAATGGGAATATAATAGTAGTCTACATTTATTAAATGCCTCCTATGTGCCAAAAAATTCTGTAAGCAGTCTACTTGTATAGATTTACATAATTTTTTTTTTTAAATTTTTTTTTGTCTTTTTCCTTTTTATCGGTACCAGGGATCGAACTCACGACTGCCTGCTTCCAAGGCAGGCGTTTTATGCCGCTGAGCTAAATCCCCAGCCCCACATAATTCTTAAAACAATTCTCTGGTGGTGGTATTATGATTGGCTATATTTTACAGGTGGGGACACTGAGGCTTAGAGATGATGAGTGACAACACAGATTGCAGCAGTCCGTGTTCAGATTAGGGTTAGCAGTCGCCATTTGAGAGTAACATGCAGCCTACAGCATGAAGCTGTTTCAGTGTCTGTTTGCAGTAGATTTAAACTTCCATAGCAAAGTGGGCCTTTGGTGCACACCTGCCATCCCAGAGCTCTGGAGGCTGAGGCATAGGGAAGGGCGGGCACTGTGGGTTCCAGGCCAGCCTGGGCTAACTACATAATGAGACTTTGTCTAATAAACAAACACCCACCCACACTGCCATTCACTTACATTTGCAACTTCTTATTCTTGGTCTCAAGATTTATTTCAGAGAAAACAACAAATTTTAATCCAGTGATACTAAAAATTACAGTTTATCTCCAGATTGTATGTGAAAGTTACTGTGTTGATTTTTAGTTTGGGTCACCTATTGTATTTCCCTGTTTCTTCATCATAGGATAATTGAGTTTTGTGTGTGTGATGAATAAAATCAAAAATCTCTTGACTTTTGCATAAAATGGGCCATTTATTCAATAGAAAATTAAAATTACTAAGATTTTCCAAACTTGAGCTGCACCTAGTGATTTTGCTCAGGGTTTTTTCCCATGATTTCTCAGGTTTACTTGGCACTGGAGGTTGAACTCAGGCCCTTCACACTGAAGTGCCCCCCTACAACATGTGTACATAGTTTTAAATTTTTATTTTTTATTTTTGAGCAAGGGTCTGAGTTTCCCAGTTGAGCTTGAATTTGAAATCCTGCCTCAACTTTGCAGTGTTAGGATTGCTGGTGTACACCACCACACCAGCCTGAAATATTCTATAGTTTGTAAAATGGACTATTTTCCACTTGTGCAAATTTAGTGAGAAACTGCTCAGTACTGGTGATAGGAACTTTTGTATATAGATGGTTGCAACATTTGTTTTTGTAAGGGTTTTAATTCTTTGACATAATCGTGGCATGTGAGTAGTCCAGGATGATCTCAGTCTTTTGCTCTTAGTCTCCCCGTTACAAGTGTGTGCCACTATGTGCTGTTGGTTGTTTGTTTTGTGTTATGCTTTGTTTTTTTAGTAGGTACCCTCAGAAATGCAGGCTCATTTGTCCAGTGCCATTGACCAGTTACAATGATAGGACCTAGGATTCAGTTCAGGCCTTTGTTTCAAGTTCAGAACATTTTCTCCTCTATATACTGCTTGGTGATTGTAAATTGTTTGAGAACAAAAGAAGTCTAAGAGTTCCAGCTATTGCATAGGAAGAGTAGATGGTTTTAATTTTCTCATTGAGTGAGTTTATAATGCTGTCTCAACTGTAGTTTTTATTGGAAGAATATATGCTTACCTAAGATCCAGGAAGACAAATTTCTTTTTTTTTGTGGGACTAAGGGGGCAGGCAGAACTGGGGATTGAACCCAGAACCTTTGCACTGAGTTACACTCCCCAGCCTGTTTTCATTTTTTGACACAGGCTCTTCGTAAGTCACTAAATTGCTCAAGACGGTCTTGAACTTGTAATCGACCTACATCACACTGTACTTGGTTACCATAAGTTTTATCAAGTAGTTCTTACAATTCAAAATTGCGTTTGTTTTGCTTTGCTGTGCTGTGCTGCGCTGAAATTGAGCT